CCTTTTTTTCCCCTCCCCCCCCCCCAAACAAAAAAAAAAAAAAAAAAAAAAAAAAAAAAGAAGAATCCAAAACCTCCAAAGTCCAGTTTCTCTGTGACTGAGCCTCTCAGCACACAGAGTTCTGGATTAGAGCTACTCAAAAAGAACAAAGAAAGGCAAACAAATAATGGGGAAAACACAAAATGCATCCAAAAATGTCAGAGAAAAAAAAAATCAAAAAATGACAGAGATAAAGTAGAGGTATGGTTTATGTTTTAGCCATTGTATGGCTGTTCCTGTTAGCTTTTTTGTAAAAGCCCTTGTATAGTTAAAAAAATGACTGAGTTCAGGGTCGCTGGAGTGAGAGCTGGCTATCACACCGGAGAGTCCTTAACCACACGGGGTGGGGGGGATGTTGGTCTGTGGAGCAGAGGTCCTCGGGTCACCTGCTGGCCCTCTGGGGCCACGGAGGACATCTGTCCACCCATCTGTCCGTTTCTCTGTTTGTCCAAGGAGAGGATCCAGATAAACCATTTGATTTCCTTCACAAAAAGACAAGCGTCATGGATTCTTTCTCACAGCTTAGGGTGAAAGCTTTAGGAGAAACCACGAAAGCTCTGACTCCAGGTCAGTGTTTGAAAATGCACTTCAAGAGGAGGAGAAATGATCGCATGAAAAGAGGATGGACATGGCATTACTCCAAGGTAGGGGAAATGTACTCGTTTGCCAACTTCAAGGTATCAGCTTCCTTGTTCTTACCAGGGAAGAAAAAAAAAGAGAGCAACTATCTTTTTTAGTTACATATTGACATGTGATTTTTCAGTGCCTGAATGTATAAATAGTAGAGGGTTATTTAATTACTAATTTCAAAGCTTTTTTACAATGTTAACAGTCTGAATACAGCATTGCATTCCTTTTTCAGATACATTCCTCTCCAAAAATGTAAAGAAACTGTCTTAATGTAATGCATATCATTGCCTCCATTACACCGCAACTCCAAACATCTTCTTTTTTTGATTCCTGTTTCTACTAACAGTAACAAATGAAAAGTTCAGAGATAAACGTAGAGAATATTTATTAGTCTAACTTCTGGCTCAGTGCTGCACACCACAATGAAACATGATGCAGTCTACCTTTCTTACCAGTTAATTAGAGCTTCCTGTGGTCTTGGGAAATCGGCATGGCTTGAATGGCGCTGTTATACAGCCACACATCAGCAGAGGAACTGAGAAACCTACCTGGCTCCTTTGCATGGTTCTGTTGCAAAATAATGAGAGATCACAATCTTCCTGGCTTGATTATTTTACTTTTTTTTTTGGTTTTATTATCGTACTTCTGTTTGTTTGTTTGTCACTTTCTATCCTTTTTTAAATGCATTTTTACTTTTTTAACTAGGATATTTAGCATTTTAGATTTGCCGATCTTAGAGAGTTGCGGTAATGTTAATTCTGTAATGCATTCCCTATTTAAAATATAAGGTGAACGTTAAAAAGTCACTATTACAAAAGAATATTGAAAGGATCCAAATAAAAGCATTGAAGAAACTTAGAACAGTGAACGGATCCGTCTTTAAATGGGAAAGAAACTCTTCTGTTCCATCCGGCTTTCTTGCTGACTGTTTGACTGTTATCACTCCTATGTCTGAGCTATAAATATGAAATAAAATTTAGATTAGCTAAATTGGTTGGATTATAAAAACTAGGCCACTAAATGCCATTTTTGCAACATACAAAAAAGTTTACTTTTTTTCACAGAATTTGAAAGAAACAATGTGAATTTATGTGTTATTGTTCCCTACTGTGAAACTATTCCTACATGATGGTTCATCTTCCAGATCTAGATAGGAGGAAGGCCCAATAAAATGATAAAACTGAGAGCTCCAGTGAACCTGTGGTGTATATTATGCATAATTTAACATATAAACTGTGGCCCCTGGAAAACAGGGACATCCCCACTGAGCAAAACATGTGGCTTCAGTGTCCAGATGAGGCAAAGCTCCACCAAATGTCAAAGGGTTCATCTGGATTTTTTGAAGAGCAGTTCTGCAAATGTATTATTATTAATAAAAGTTCCATTTCCTGCAGTAGAAAGATGTTAATCACTGAGAGGTTACTGTAAAAGTAAAGATATCCTTGGAGTGCAGATTAGCCCTCATCATGTTTTAGTGGACTTTAACGCTAAAACATGCTGGTCCTTTGTCTTTTATCAACCTTTGTCTTTTAAAGTCTGGAGTTGATTGCCATGGAGGAGAGGCTATGGCAGGCCATTTTAACATAAAATCTGTTTCATCTATCTGTAATTATGTTCCAGGGATCTAAAAATGAGCTTTGACTAGAGACAGATACATGTTGACTCTCCTGAATGATAATTTAAGATATTTGTATTTACATTATGACTAAAAAGAAGAATTCAAGGGTTGCACAGTGGTGCAGTTGGTAGCACTGTTGCCTTGCAGCAAGAAGGTCCTGGGTTCAATTCCCCGCCTGGGGTCTTTCTGCATGGAGTTTGCATGTTCTCCCTGTGTATGGTGGGTTCTCTCTGGGTACTCTGACTTCCTCCCACAGTCCAAAAACATGACTGTCAGGTTAATTGGTTTCTCTAAATTCTCCCTAGCTGTGAGTGTGTGTGTGTGTGTGTGTGTGTGTGTGTGTGTGTGTGCATGGTTGTGTGTCCTGTCTGTCTCTGTGTTGCCCTGCGACAGACTGGCGACCTGTCCAGGGTGACCCTGCCTCTCACTCAGAAAGTTAGCTGGAGATAGGCACCAGAAAACCTGACCCCACTAGGGACAAGAGTGTATAGAAAATGGATGGATGGATGGAGAAGAATTCAAGATGTCTTTAGTTGCATTTCGGCGGATCATTATACCTTTCAAGATATTTCAAATGACGTTGCCAAATTCGTCATCATCCGTAATTACAATTCAAGAAGATTGTAATTAAAGTTACTAGACAAGATAGCTATTTTACCTAGTAGAAACTTGATTTTACATTAAAACAGCCTGCCAAAGTGAACAGTTTTCAGTCTTTTCAGTGAAGAAGAGCACCTGTTGGCCATTGTGTAAATTGAACTCGACACTGGTCAACATGGTACTTTCTGCCTCATCAATGCACGTTTACGGCTTATTGATTTCCTCTTATTGTTGAGATCTGCCTCTTCTGATAGTAAGTCACTGTCTCTTACTGATAAGAACTTTGCAGAACTTCTCTTCAAATACATTTAAAGTGACTCTGACTCCTGAAGTTTTAGTGAAACCTTTGGAAACATGTTTTTGTCCAAGACTGGGCCATAATCAATTATTTTCTTTAATAAACAGAACCTCACTTTCCGTCCTATCTTTATGTGCTTCTTTGTGTTAATCTATTGCATATTCTTCCAAAGGAATGTTGCCATGCTAATGTCTTAAATTGGCACTGACTCTGCCTTGATAACAAGATGGTTCATTTTGAAACAATTATTGATTGTTTGAAAAGGAGAGAGAAAGTAATACAGTTACTGATGAAGAATCGTAGTTTCATAAGGTTTTGTGATGCCAACTTATTCTCACCATTCTCTACGAAATTTATTCTTCTCTTAGGTGTCTAAAATTCACTTTAGATGTCTATGGAAGTTTCAGTCCAATTATAGCCAAAACATCTGTCAAGAATTTAGGATCAGTTTAGATTAATTCCATTTCACCATCATATTCCAGATTGCTAAGATAACAGAGCCAGGAGGGAAACCCAGAAATCCCCATAATCATTGATTGACTTATGTCAGAAGGTATGTAAATATTCCCTCTGGTTCTCCTTCCATTGGGAATGCTCAGCACACCTTCAAAGCGAGGCTGCTAGGAGGTATCTTTCCAAACCACTTCAGTCTCCAACTTCTTTCAGTGCAGAGGTGCATCAGCTCTATTCACATCAGACTCCAAATGATGAAGCTTCTCTCAGTGCCTCTGAGCTCAAGAAGCTTCAGTTTTATCTCTTTATGTTGGCTTCTTCAGATCAACACCTTCAACTTGCTTCAAAGTCTGAGGCCAAGGAAAAAGTTGGACTTCTCCCTCTGAGTTAGGGTGTAAAGTCTTTGCCTGTTCAGATAGTCTGGTAGACTGTTTGATTGGGGACTAAAGGTGCAACGTTTGTTACATTTCCAGTTGCTGTTGGTCTCTTTCAGACTGTGTCAATCCAAAGAAATCCTTTGAGCAACTTGACTCTGAGAGTAACTTCCTTCCTTCAGCGCTTAGTGGTTGTAGGATTTTCTTTTGTACTACAAAGATTTTTCCCCAAAGACCACAAACCATTCCTCCCTCAAATCTAGACTCACTCTTGTTTTGGTCGTATTTACCCAGAATGCCCTGCTCTATAGTCTGCTTCCTTCCTTTGGAGCAGTCACATCTGCATTTGAACCACATCAGAGTTTGATTTCTCATTTATATCTTTCCAAACAAACCCCACTTTCTAGGCAAATGAAGAAGAATTTGATAAAAACAGACTAAATGGGGCTGTGTGAAGTTTCCTGGGGTCTTGTTCACAAATGATGGTAGGATGGAATGAGAGATGAACAGATGGATTAGTGCTTCATGTGCAATAATGAAGAGCCTAGTTTAAAAAGCAAAGCTTGGCTTTACTGTTCTCCCTTAGAGAAAAGGTGAGGAGTTCTGTTTGTCTCCTCAGGGTTGTTGAATGTAGAGCTGCTGCCTTTCCACTTCTGATGGTGATCAGTTGACATGATCCTAAAATCTAATGAGGATGCCTCCTGGTCGCTTCCCTATTAAGCTTTTCCAGGCATGTTCCACTGGAAGAAGACCTTAAGGAAGACTGGAAGCTTGCTGGTGGGACTAAGTATATCATCTGGCAAAGAACACCTTGGAATCTCCATAAGGAGTCGTTGAGGAGAGGAGATGTCTGGCTATCCCTTCTGCGATCTGATCTCGCAGCATTTTTTATGGCTATTTCTGTTTGACCAATCATCTGTATTGGGTTCAAACATTTTGAAGGACATTACACTCTTAGTTCACCTCATATTCATGTTTAGCTGAAACAGGGATCTTAAAAGTCCTTTGAACATCCGACTACTGTACTGACATTAAAACCGATTTACACATCAAAGGGCATCTTCAAGTAGATTTTTTGTCACTTTTCATTATCGATCATATTCATATAATTACAATAAAAAGGACATTGTTTTGATCTTAGGTTTTTTTTTTTTGTTTTGTTTTGTTTTTTTTGTTGTTTTTTCACATTTTTTTCTTGATGGGGAGTTCTGTCTTTACCACAATAGACTAAAGAAACACCCCTATTACTGCAAGCAAAGCCTTGGGGGCGTGGGGGTGAGGAGGTCATCAGACATATTTTTACCCATAAAAAGCTCAGTGGAGTGTAATTTGTACATCTGGCAGTCAACAGATGATTTTTCTAAAACTCGATCTAAAATAAGTCTCTATTTAACATAATGCACATTGTTTATGCCATCCTTGAATGTAAAAATGGCTTACTGTGGTCACATGCAATGTTACAACAACTCTCTAATTAGGCTGCTAAGCTAACTAGTAGAAGCTGGGGATAGAGTTATTGTACAGACCTGTCACTTGGTCACTCTCAGTGGGAAAACCACTATGGACCAGTTCTTTAAGCATTAGTGGCTGCAGATTTCGTCCTTGCCTGTCACAAACTAACGGCTAAAGCTAGCATACCAGCATCTTGTTTGAACAAAAATGGATGGTAACATTAAAAACCTACTTTGTTGACCAATAAATCTGCCAGCATTGGTTAAATGATTCCAAGTCAAATCAAGTGAAACAGTGAAAACGGCAAATCTCCTTCAGCCTTTACTGACTAGAGAGCACTTCATTTTAAGTTAAACTGAGTTTTTTGAGTGGAACTTAATCAAGCAAGGCTGTCTGGGTTTTTTTTTCCCTTTCAACTTGAGTTAATGAACAATGACACTTTACTGTTGCCTCTTCCTGTACATCACTTACCTCTATCCTAATACTGAAAATATTGAGCACTGATTGAAGGTGAATAATGGAAGGATATCTGTTTTGTAGAGGAGACTCAATTTCCACAATCTTATAGAATCATGGCTTGTGCACTAGAAAAGGTAAATCATGTAAATACACTTACTGACAAATACAGTTCAGCACCAAGGTAAAGCCAGAAGGAATGTTCTGATATGACAAAATGGTAACACTTTATTTGAAGGGCTGTGCATAAGACTGACATAGTCAAGACCTCATGAATATGACTGTTGTCATGAATTGTCATTTGGTAAATAATTACACTTTTAATGCAAAGTTTACACTTTTAATGGACTTTTAATGCAACTTTTAGTTCAGCTTTGCATTAAAAGTGTCATCATTTACCGAATTATACTTTATGACAACATTCATGAAGACTCCTCCATGTTCATGACTGTTGTTATAACATGTTTATGACAGTGTCTTATGCACACCCCTTAAAATAAAGTGTTACCAACAAAACTTGGTACAGAAACGACCAGTGATGGATATGGATATGGACTGCTTTGCAAAAAGATGGTGGGTCTAGAGCTAGTATCAGAACATTTCCTCGCCATAACACTGGGCAAGGATCAGCAACCTCTGTTTTGTATTGAGTAATTTTGGATAGTTTCAGACTAAAATAAGCATAACATCCAATGTCATTCTCTTTGTGTTAAGCTAGTTGTGTCATTACAAAGATACTTCCTACTTATATAGTTTCCAAACCTTTTTAATAATCCTCAGAAAAAAAATAAAGAGTGCACTATGCGAACACAAGGATTAACAGATGATAAATACATCACCATAAAGTGAAACTGAATAGCACTTTGCTTAATTCATTTAGAAATTCCACATGGACATTTGCTTTTATTTTATTTTCCCTTGAAGTCTACATATTATTTATTCATAGGGTAAATGTTTCGCCTTTCATTTTTTTAAACAATTCAAATTGGCCCCCAGCTCAAAAAAATAAAGGGAA